ATCTTCTCCTCCAGTATAGAGCAGTACATTGTTGAGTTCATGATGCCATCAATGAAATGCAGCTCCCCAACACCAGCAGCACTCATGCAGCCCCACAAAAGGACACCGTCACCACCATGTTTCACTGTAGGCACCATGCATTTCTCTTTGAAATCCTCACCTTTACGACGCCATACAGTTTTAAAACCATTAGTTCCAAAGACAGTGACCTTTGTCTCATCACTCCAGAGTCAGTAGTCTTCATCTTTTTCAGCATGGGCCCTAGCAAATCCTAGTCATGCTTTTATGTGCATGGGCTTTAGGAAAGGCTTCCTTTGTGGACAATACCCATGCATGTCATTCCTCTGCAGTGTGCGCCATATGGTGTCACGAGAAACGGTCACTCCAGCTTGGCTTTCTACTGCTTTAGCTAAATGCAGTGAACTTGCATGAAGATTTTCTTCAACCCTGCTCATCTGACGATGCTCCTGTCGAGACATTAACTTCCGTAGATGGCTTAGATTGTTGCACTTCCGTCTTTCTTAAATTTTTGGATCGCTTTTGCTACAGTATTCTGACTATTATGTAAAGCTTTGCTAATCTTGTAGCCCTCACCTTTTTTGTGTAAAGAAATAATTTCCACTGTCCAAAATAGACTAGAGCAATCCCTATTGAAAAATGGGAGGTGGATATATTAGTCAGCTTTGACCAGAACTTCTGGTCCCAAACGTGTTTAGAAACTTTTAAAATGATCAGACACCCCAATTTACAACTAATTCAGTACAAAATTCTGCACAGAGTACACTATATAGGTCATCGGATGTTCGGAATGGGGTTTGTGTCATCTGACACCTGCACACATTGCACAAACAACATTCCTGACAATTACACCCACGCACTGTGGTCCTGTCCACCTGTCCAGGAATTTTGGGGTAGAGTATGTGAAGACCTGTCAAAGTGTCTGAAATGTCATATCCCAACTTCCCCCTCTCTTTGTTTGCTGGGAAACCTGGACGATGTCCTGACTGAAACAACTTTGGTTCATGTGGTTCTGACTGCCATATGCATCGCTAAGAAAACTATCCTCATGAATTGGAAAAGAAGAAAAAAAAAGAAAATATCTTTTCTATAGCGCCTTTCAAGATAAAAATCACGAGCCGCTTCAAAGACTACGTTTACATGCAGCCAATATCCGGGTTATGATCGGGTTACGGTCGGTATTCGGGTTTCTGAGTTGATCAGAATAACCCGTTTACAAGCACAAATAGAAAGAGTTACCCCTAACTTGCATAACCCGATGTAAATGCGGACGTTGGGGTAGCGTCAGGACGTGTGGACTACGTCCAGACGCAATATGCGTCATTTCCGGTTCTTCTCGTTCCGGTATCCGTGAAAACAACAACATTTTTCCCAGTTCGGAAGAGATAGCGACCGCGTTTGTTTGCTCTTTAGTTTCCTCGTCACTCCGAAAGTGTGGTGCTGTGCCGCGACTCGCCATGTTGCTCCCAACTTGTTGTTTACTTCCGGAGTTCTGGCGCATACAAGACGTCTCGCTACTCAAAAGACCAAGGTTCCTTGCGTCAGAGCATGCGCAGAACACACGCTTTGATGGGGATATCCCGGTATGCGTTTACACGACCAAACATTCGGGTTAGAAAAGGGTTACCCCAGGTGTAGTAACCGGGTTTTTCCCGGTTTATGAGCAAATCCGGGTTTCTGGCGGTGTTTACACGGACCTGTGGAACCGGGTTATTGTGACTATTCGGGTTTTAAAAGGGTTACTGGCTGCATGTAAACACACTGAAAGAAAATCCTGGTAGGAATCATTCCGCTCCGGTAAACAAACAGGGAGGTACGTCCTTGGTGCATCTTGGGCGATCGTGAATGAACGGAAGGACAAAAGAGTCTGGCGATCATAGGAGATGGTAGCAGGGACACTACTGAAGAGGATTGCAGACAGGAGCAAGGTGGAAAAGAGGAGGTTAGTGGAGAAAAGTTTGAAAAGGTGGCCAAGCACAGGTGCCATCTTGTTACCGACCGGATGAGGATTAAAAACTCTAAAAATAGAGATACTCTTTTCCAAACAGTATAGAAATCTTTTGTTAGATCATATTACACTTGATACAGCCTCTGCTTCCACTTCAAGTCAATCTCTCTGGGCTCCTTTGATCGGTGTTATCAGAAAGCGATGATGGGGGGTCATTGGTATTGTCCCGCGGGATGATGCGGGTGATGGGGCGGAGGGTCTGAGTTTGGAGTATCCAGACGTTCCCTGGAGGTGGGTTCACTGGGGGGGGGGGGGGGGCTGCAGCCCCCCTCTGGAGGTGCTTGGGTTGCCTCGGGGGGTGGACTACTGGCAGTTGTGAGTGGGGCCCATTTGGAGGTCTTGGCGGTGGCCATGGGTTGCTGCCTGGCGGCTGCTTCACCCCTGAGTAGGTCTGGGTGGGGGCCTGGATGCTCGGGGTGTGGGGGTGGGGGTGGGCCCCATGTGGGGATCTGGGCGGGGACTTGGAGGATGGGGTCCTGACTCGTAAGCTGCTGGGAAGAAGGCAGAAACAAGTGGCAGTGCATGGCCCAGGCTCAGGGGCCTCAGGTGGACCTTGGCTCCTCTTAAATAATAACAACTCTGTCCCATAGGGACCCAACCTTACCTGGATGTCTCATGTCTTACATATTCTGGAAGTTGTGCAAAAGCAGGGATGGGAGTAGATATTTCTACTGGGGTGGGGCTGGGTTGGTGCCCTTGGACTCTGTGAGGCTTTGTGATGCTGCTGCTTTGGGCCCTGGCAAGATGGGCTGGGGTCTCCATGCCCTGGGGGGCATTTTGGTAACAGAGGTGCCTATTTGGACCAGTGGGGAAGCTGGCTCCCTGGGGGGCTTAGACCAACCAGCCATTCCTCCCCATCCCCATACATTTTTCTCCTCCTGCTCCTTCACATTATCACACAATCATGCACATACGGCCTTGGGGATGGGCAAGTCAGGGGTGCGGGTATCAATCCCATTTCCGCATTCCTGTGGAAGCCTGCCCCCAATTTTATTTGCACATTAAACACTTACACCAATGACATTCCACGCAAATGCACACTTAGGGCCTTGGGAGTGAGCACACTCAATGGCAATAGGCAAGGGAATCTTTCAGCCTCATCCCGAGAGCCAGTGAACACTTCAATTTTAAACTGCACTTAGACACAGAGGGCTGTGGGGTTGTGTGGTTGCATCAGCTGGCGTAGGCCAGACGATACCTGCACTGCCCACTCACCACAGCCATGGAATACACCTCAACATGCACAAACGCTGTATTGGAGCAGGCGGAGGAGACTAGGGGTCTTAGCTCACCTCTGTTGTTGCTTGGCTTCCCGGGGCTGGAGGTTAGGAGGGGGAGCTGGCCGTCTTGTTGGGGTCTGGGGTGGTGGGATGCTTTGCTCAGCATTGGGCGGAGGTGCCTGCTCATCATCACCCCAGCAGAAAGGGGCAAACTCTGGGAACCAGTGATGGTTGTACCCCTTGCACAGCAGTACCGGGACCACAGTGAATTGGGTGTTTATGGGGAGCATGAGTGGGTGTCAAGCGTTCATTTTTGTAAGTCTTAGGTTGTATGTGCATGTGTGAGCATGAGGGAGGGAGTGTGTGACTGTGTCTGTGTATGGCTGTATATGTCAGGTGGGGTTGTGGACTCCTCCTCGCTCCTGGGACTTCTTGTGCTACTACACATCTTCACTTACCCTTACCCTGCCACATTTGGTGTGGAGTGTGGTGCCTTGGTCTGCCTGGGTGTTTGCGGCTCCCGGGTCAGGGGGTTTAAGATCTTTGGCATCTGCCTGATTGATCCCGGTGGCTGCCTGGTGGGATCTGGTCGCTCCTGGGTTCCGGGCTTGGCCGGCTTGGGGGTGGGAGGCTGCGGGCGGGCCTGTGGGCTTGCTGTTGATATCTCCCGGGACTCTGCCATCTGTTGGTTGTGACCCCCTGGGCAATCCTCTGCGCCTCTCGAGAAGGGGCTGTGGCTTTTCTGATTAGTCTCCCTGGGGTCCTGGATCTCTGGGACTTGGAGATCCCTCCATCTCCTACACATCTTTGGGGGGCAGATCTGTGGCCCCTCACACTCTATTGGACGGTCCTATAGAGAAACCTAACATATACAAGCGCATTTACACACACAGGTGCCCACATGGTGCTCTCATAAGTATGACTTGGGTATTTTCAACACATGTCTTAAGGCTGTGGTTGGCACTAAATGCACTGTGATTTATTATCGTGTGATTGTTCAGTAAAACAATGTTGATTTTATATTTCCTCATCAGGTTGACACAGTGATGGCTTGCTCCTGTTGTATTTTGTGTCTCCCTTTTATTTTTTTATTTTTTGCTTTGTTTTTCTCTTTCTGCAGGTGAAGAAACAGGCTCTTGTTCATCATTGATTTTTAATTTTTGTGGACATAAGACTATAATTGAGGTGTACTCATTTTTGCAACATTGGCTTGAATGGATTTGTTAGGAAAATACTTTTTTGTTTATGCAAATGAACAAATCTTGTTTGCAAATAATGGCCACATTTGTGGGAGTATTTTGTAGTATGGTATCTCATGGAACATGTTGATTCTGACCAGAAACTAAAGGTTGTCTGACAAATGTAGTGGGGTGTACTCAGTTATGCTGAGCACTGTATAAAATTATATAAATTGAAAGAAAGCAGCAAATAAAATATGTGAATTGTTAGTTAACTGAAAAACTACAGAGTGTCTCATAAAGACATAAATCGTAAAGATTTTGTCCAAGGTTGATTAGACCAGGTGGGTTCGTATCTCATATCCAGTTTAAGAGCTTTGTGTTCTTTTTAATTGAAACGTCGATGAAAGAGATCCTTATGTGAAAATTATGTACTGAAGGTCAAATGCACATCTCTGACAGGTTTCGGAGCCCAGGGAAAGTAAGACCAAATGAAGGAAAAAGAAGGTCAGGTTTGATGTAAGTTATGATAAAATTAAAGTGTTCTCTTTTTTTTCTTTTAATCTGTCATTTCAGCTCAGGTTCCAGACAGCGACGAGCAGTTTGTTCCTGATTTCCATTCTGAGAACTGTAAGTACTCTTTTGATTTTCTTTATGAGTGTCCATGATGCATTTTGTGTCTGAAGAGCTTAAGGGTAAAATACAACAGCAAAACGTGAAACACAGCAGCAAAAATAGACCAGGTGTTAGGAGAAAACACTAATTCTGGTCAGAATGTGAGAAAAGTGTTGTGTATTTAGATTTATTTTTTATAAAATAATTCTTATTTTCAGGTTTTGTTGAGTTTCCCATCTCAGAATTTTTTTTCTTTCATTCAAAGAATCATATCCACATGTGATGCAAATTAAATGAAAGATGAGTAATGTTGGTGTACACGCTCTCATGATACAAAAACCTCCACAGCCTGGTGCGATTGTCTGGTTGATGTTGGCGTGTTGTAGCAGCTGAGGGTGATGGCAGTCAATAGGTGTGAGTTCCTTTTCTGTGTCTGTGCTGCTGTTGATCCGTCACTGCTGCTCTCACAGATGCAACCACAAGTTGTACCATCTGATTAGATTTATGAAATGAAAATGGGATATTTCCTAAACTCAGAGCTTTATGTTGTTTCACCCAGCCCTTTTGGCTCTGGTCCAACAATTCCAGCTACAATACCAAAGAGGATAAAAGCTGGGGTCAACATTGGGCTGTGAAGTCTGCAGAGGTATGATACTGTAATTCACTGATAGTACGTTCTTCGGGGGTCATTACCAAGGATCTAATCACCCAGTCATCGAGTGAATCTGGATCCTGGCTAAATGTGCTGCTGTCGTTCATTTGCATGCCTTTGAAAGGCTGAATGGGTACAGCCCAGGAAACCAGTAGGAAATTATTCAGGGCCCAGGTACAAAGATGGCCCTTTGTGCACATCGGAAGGTGTAAAATAGAAAAGCAAATTCCTGGGCGGCACAACAGAGCTGCAATTTGAATGGGTTTCCCTTTCTTGTTGTGTGTCTGAACAATAGTGATTCAGGATCTGGGTGGGGGGGACGTCTCGCTCTACAAACAGGTTTTTTTTCTCTCTTCCATTCACTTCTGACACTAAAATGGTTTGCAGCAACTCCCCAAAAGGGTAATCCATCCTTCAAAGTAAAAACCGGCATCCCTAGATGCCACTCAAAGCCACTTCCTTGTCTTTTGTGTCCAAACATCGTGTGACTTAACAAACTCAAAGTCACAACTGGTCAGACCATATGTGACACATGCTCTGAGCAACATTGTGGCCATCTGATGGCCAGCAATGTGCAGGAGGAAGTGCAGATGAACCTCGGGGCAAGCGGGGGTCATGTCGACTTAACCCACTGGCCTCGACGCCCAATCAGCTGTCGGGCTTCTGCTAACCGTTGACCTGGCTGTGATTTGCAGGGTCAGAGAGGCTTCAGGTTGATGGGCAGCTCCTTTACACACTCCTTCTGCAGAAAGTCTCCCTGCTGATCATCATCAATACCATCAGAACATCCTTCAACCTAAATTTAACTGATTGAAACACATATCCACCCCTTTTGTGTTCTCTGCTCATCTCTGTTTGACCTCAGAGCATGTGAAAGACATTCCCACAGTCTGATAAACACGAAAACAGTTGACTCACCTCTTTTGGGAAGTCTATACACACGCACGTGCACACACACACACACGCACGTGCACACACACACACACACACACACACACACACACACACACAAAAGTCGAAAGCAAAGCCTTAATCCTGGCCGATCGGAGGATAATTGAAGCTTGCATTGAAAGCTGCACCCAGGTAAAATTAAACATAGTTGTTTACGGAGTCAAGTTGTTACCTGCTTGGGTGTGGTGGTGAGAGGGGGGAGGCAAGAACACATGTTGGAATGCTACATGGGGGGGGGGGGGGGGGGGGGGGGGGGTCAGAGTCAGAGGTTGTGCAATACCTGCACATCTGGTAAATCTATCTCATCTGATCGTTTCTCCTTTAATTCGTTGCAAACAAGCATGCTCTGTCTGCAGGCTGCTGCCGATAGAGGGTTATGCAAACATGCATACCTTTACATACTGGCCTGTGCTTATGTGTGTTCAACAGTAATTGAGCCATGTTTTTCTGCGTTGGCCTAACGTGATTGGTTTGGATGCTCTAGAAGAAGGATTTGATTTTAATCCGGCAACGGGAGGAGGGCTGGTGTTTGTTTTGGGGCGCTGACCGCACCTTCGGGGGTTCTCTTTGCCTGACGCCAGCCTGTCAGCCTGGTTCCTTTGTCTGTTTGCTGCCTGCAGGGAAAGAAACACACAGAGGTGTCTGTCAAAGTGATGGTGCATGAACTTAATTAAAATAGCTTTACTGTGCCACTAATTTGATTTTCTTTTATAAAATGGAAGATATGGTTGGCACTTTCACTGAGAGCTTGTTCTCCTTTGTCAAGGTATGTTGTTTACATTTGGAACAGCTCAAGAGATGTGACCCATTCATAAATTTTCTTGCCTGCATGCGTAAAAGGAAGTGTGCCTCCCCCACCCTCCCCCTGCTCCTCTTCTACTTTCTCCCTCTCCGTCTTCGGCAGCACTCTGCTATCCTTCGGTCTTCATTCATAAAAATGCACCTACAGTACTCCGTCTCTCCAAGTGGATACTCCAGATCCCTCCCTCCCTTCCTGTTTCTGTACAAACGAAGTCAAATTTAAAAATCTCACACACACACCCTCCATCCCCCTCCCTTCTCTCTCTTCGCTCAACCTCTTCAAGCACTCACTCACATTGAGCGGTCCAAGATGTGAACTAATCCAGTGATTTAGAGTTGTGTAGGCTGATTGTTTAGTTTTGTGCCTTGCAGTAATTATATGGGAAGTTGTGGCTATAGAATGCCGATACAGTGTTTCTTTGAGAGCTGCTCGGTAAGAGGACGAGACAAAAGGAGAGACGCTGTGAGAGCAGAGGAAGTGAAACCAAACTCCTTCAAAAAGTAATTTGTGTCTTTTTTTAATGCTGAACATTAAGTTGCTTTTACCTGCAGCTCTTAATCACTCTAATGACACTAATGTTCAGTTGTATTTAAACATTATCACCCCCAACCCCGAAAAATGTGTATATCTGACCAAAGAAAGTGCATGTGGATCATTTTCAAGGTATTTCTTTATATTTTAACATTTTAGTCCTGTGGGATTCTCACTGAACTCAGGGAATGCTCCTACCCATTTTAAAGCTTTGTTGTTACAATTTAACACTAAAGGAAGTTAAGTTTGAATAATGATCTCAATCACTGAAGGTACATCTGCAACTAAGAAACATTTCAGCCTGGTTGAAGATGGCAGCAACAGCTCAATGGTCAGTGTTCGAGATATGAGTTAAGACTTGGCGTCATCCTAAACACACACACGCCAAGCACTAACTGACAGAACTAACGTACTTCGTCTAAAACAGTGGCATCAACTGTTTTGAGACATTTACGTTTAACTTCCTACTTCCTCATTTGAACTAGCAACAGAAACAAGGCTGTAACTTTTTTTTTACTTTTCTAAAACCCATTGTTAAATATAGACAACTACTGACAGTAAAGGTTGAGTGAATTGTCAGTCTTACTCTGGACTCATGGGTGAAGCTTTCCAAGTTTTTATTTCTGATGGTCGAAGCAGAAGGAAAGAAAAAAACTGCATAAAGGTTTTAGTAACTCGTGCAACAAACTAAATCCTGGCTCCCTTTGGCTCAACGATTTCTGCTTTGTCATGAATTCACAGCCTTTCTGTTCTTTTGGGTTGTTCTGAACCGGCTCAGTCAGGAACATCAGCCGATGGGTGAACAAAGCCCCTCCCTCGTTTTCCCCCAAAAGAGAAGCATGCAGCCCTGTGTCCTTCACTTTCCAAAATACAGCTGCTATGCAACAAAGTTTGTAAAAACACTCATGTGCCTGCCAGACACACACACACACACACACACACACACACACACACACACACACACACACGCACACGCACGCACGCACGCACACATACACACACACACACAGATGCCAGTTTCTCTCTGAGCCAAGTCACTTTGTTTGTTGCAGCATTTTGTTTTGTTTTTGAGTAAAATGGTTGATTTATTTCACATGAACAGATGATTTTTTGACAACCTCTCATCCACTTAAAACAGCTTGTTTCGCGCACACACACACACACACACACACACACACACACACACACACACACACACACACACACACACACACACACACACACACACACACACACACACACACACACACACACACACACACACACACAAAGGTCCCTGCTGTTTTATGAATGGACTGGTTGTGAAAGAAGGCTGAGGAAGTTAAAGGAAGTTGAGTGAAAGGGAGTGAACCTTCATTCATGACTGATACAAGGTTTATTTCTCTACCAGCAGCACCTTTTTCTCGTTGTGGGTCCTTATTTTCAACCAAGAAGAGTTCAAGTTAATCAACATTTAGTTTTGTTTCTAAAAACGGTAGTCTATTAAATACCTTTTAATTGAGCTTTTTATTTAGTTTTATAATCAACAGTATTCATCCTCATCAACTGGTCCTAGAGTAACTAGACTGAGACGTGTTGTTTTCTAGTTTAAACCGAGGGAAATACTAGCTGGACTTTACTGAGTTTAAGCAGAAACAGTGCTGCCAAAGCTGGGGGAGGGTTTTTTTTTTTACCAGCAGGACACAAGAGTTTGTGAATGTTGGTCCATCCCTGTGATGCTGCAGCTCACTGATGTGGTTTCTTTGACGGCTCTACTTCCAGCAACAGGAATGTTGTTTTGAAAGAAGCTGGTTCACAGACCAAAGATGAGAGTTGCAAGGTGGTAGAAATAACAGTAGCCGAGTGTGTAAATCATTTACACACAGAGGTGTGTCCCAGTGTTGTTGGACACCGTCTTTTTTAAGGTTTTGTTGGTTTTTATAACCGTTTGTCTGTTCTAATGAGACATTGCCCGCAAAACTTTGAGGAGAGGGTGGGGCCTTTAGACTTTTTCACTTATTTAAGTTGGGAAAACAATCTCTTGTGACTGTTGGGAATCTGGGACAGAAGCTGAGGATCCTACACTGATGGAGTTGAGAG